GAGAAAGGAAGGGAGGGGGTTAGGAAAGAAAGAGATAGGAGTAAAAATAGCACAAACTGAACACCAATAGACCTCATTTTAAATCTGAGTTATGCCCCTTATTAATACAGTGAGCCTGAAAAACGTTTCTTAAACTGTTTCCACAACCCGCTAATGAGAGATGAGAGACTCAAATCACTGAAAGGATCAGCTGCCATAACATGTGTGAAGACATCTAGCAGAGTCTCTCATATAACAGGTGTCCAATAGGTACTAGTTTCTTTTCTCCATTCCATGTTTATTCTTCTATTTTTTTTTTTAATATGAGCTAAATAGAATGTTCCCTGTGTGGGCAGCTTATATCTTCAGATGTCCTCCTCTCTGTTCTTCCTCTCTTATGTTGTTTATGTTAATTACATTTTTCAAACATCTCATCGACTTGGAACCATCTTCTCTTGCTTCCCACTGACCATGGGAATGATTTCAGCTCCCCAAACTCGGGATCTCTAGCAGTGAGGCTTCCAAATCCATGTCTTTCTTTATCAAGGACTTCTTTTTTGAGAGCAGTTTTTAGTTCACAGCAAAATTGAAGGGAAGGTACAGAGATTTTCCCTAGACCCTAGACCCTCACATATCCATAGCCTCCCCATAATCGACATCCCCCGCCAGAGTGGTGCATTTGTTACAACTGACGAATTTACTGATGCATCATTTTCACCCTAAAGCCCATAGTTTACATTGGCTTTCATTCCTGCTGTTGTACATTTTATGGGTTCAGACAAATGTATACTGAGATATATGACATACACTGACATATACAGACATGTCTGGATATCATTATAGCCTCACTGTCCTAAAACTCCTCTGTGCTTTGCCTATTCACCGCCCCCCAACCCCTAGCAACCACTGATATCTTTCTACCATCTCCATAGTTTTGCCTTCTCCAGAACGTCATATAATTGGAATCATACCGACCGGCTTCTTTCACTCCGTGATATTCCTTTAAGGTTCTTTCATGTCTTTTCACAGCTTAATGGCACATTTCTTCTTAGCATTGAATAATATTCCATTGTCTGAGTGCACCATAGTTCATTAATCTGTTCATCTACTGACAGGCATTTTGTTGCTTCCAAGTTTTAGCAACTATGAATAAAGCTCCCAGAAATATCTGTGTGCAGGTAAAGCAACATGTCTCCTTTTTCACCGCTTCTTTCTAGATGATGACACGGTCACTTCC